AAAAATACCTATTTAGGAACATTGTACATGAATTCAAATACTTATGTATTCAAATAGTTATAACCTCTCACTGTAATATGCCAACCAATGATGAACTTGGTGATCATCATGAGGTGCATCACACAGGTACATGGAGGGTGGAAACAAGGAGATATATATCCATCCATCCATCCATCCATCTTCATCCGCTTATCCGAGGTCGGGTCGCGGGGGTAGCAGCCTAAGCAAAGAGGTCCAGACCTCCCTCTCCCCAGCCACCTCCTCCAGCTTGTCCGGGGGAATACCAAGGCGTTCCCAGGCCAGCCGAGAGATATAATCTCTCCAGCGTGTCCTGGGTCTGCCCCGGGGCCTCCTCCCGGTGGGACATGCCTGGAACACCTCGCCCAGGAGGCGCCCAGGGGGCATCCTTGCCAGATGCCCGAACCACCTCAGCTGGCTCCTTTCGATGTGGAGCAGCAGCTGCTCTACTCTAAGCCCCTCCCGGATGGCCGAACTTCTCACCCTATCTCTAAGGGAGAAGCCAGCCACCCTTCGGAGGAAGCTCATTTCCGCCGCTTGTATCCGCGATCTCGTTCTTTCGGTCACTACCCACAGCTCGTGGCCATAGGTGAGGGTAGGGACGTAGATCGACCGGTAAATTGAGAGCTTCGCTTTTACACTCAGCTCCCTCTTCACCACGACTGACCGGTGCAGCGTCCGCATTACTGCAGCCGCAGCCCCAATCCGTCTGTCGATCTCCAGCTCCCTTCTCCCATCACTCGCGAACAAGACCCCGAGATACTTGAACTCCTCCACTTGGGGCAGGAACTCATCCCCGACCCGGAGTGGGCACTCCACCCTTTTCCGGCTGAGAACCATGGCCTCAGATTTGGAGGTGCTGATCCTCATTCCCGCTGCGTTACACTCGGCTGCGAACCGCTCCAGTGCGAGCTGGAGGCCCCTATATATATATATATATATATATATATATATAGAGAGAGAGAGAGAGAGAGTTATATTTGCAGTTGGATTTAAAAAACAAAGTGAAAGTCACTCAAAGAGTTGTTCTTGCATAACACACCCACTCAAATTCGCATTTGCATTGCCATTATTGCAGACTGCCACAGTCATTGCTCCAGTAAAATACTTTTTAAAAAACATTTTGAAAGTTTTGGCCTTCTTTGAAACATTTAGTGTCAGTCTGTGTTTTTACTACCAAACAATCACAATGGTTTGAAACTGAGGGTAGCAAAAATAGCTGCTACATATGATTGAGAGATTCATTGCAGTGTATTTTTTTTTACTATATTCCCCTTGCTCATATAGCATGAATTATAAGTAAGTAAAAAGTATAGTAGTTAAGTTTGCTTGAGTCATCTCTCTCTAATTTAGTTTCCTTCATGTTCAAATGGTAGGGGTGGTCTCCTCCCCCCCCCTGCTCTCCCAGCACACCTGTGGTTATTGACTAGTATTAGAAAAAAGAGCTTGATTTCATAAGTATACAAAATCGCATCAGATGTCGATGTTATGTGTACAATGGTGTTTGTAAATAGATTTTGCATGTGTTTTTGCTAATGCTTCAAAACAGGAATAACTATGCAGGCTGTTATAGTGAATGGCTGAATGTAATTTGACTATCCAAATTCTGATTCACAGGAAGGCCCACATATTTTACATGTACACTTAGATACAAGATGAGGGCTCTACTTTAATTTATGAGCCAGAAACTTGTATTTTAAAATCAAACTGCTCGTGTATAAATTACATTTATTAATGTTTTAATTTTAGATTGCCTTTATTGGTGTCGATGAATTTCCACATGTAGTTTTATTTAGTCAAAGAATCATCATTCGTTCATAGTTTTTTGGAGTTTTATTAAGTATCAACCCTCTTTTTAAAAGACCAAAAACTGGTAAGCATGTTGTTGAACTGTTGTTATGAAAAATTTCACAGCCCTTAATAACTGAACAGTTCTGAGCACTACAGATTACAACTCTAACGATTATTGCTAATGTGGTATCTCCAAAAAATCACAAATTGTGAAGCTTTGTGCTTTCAAATGATTAGATGTTTTTCTGATTTGATGGGCTGATGCTGTTCAGAATCTGGCTGTGGCATTAAAGGGTTAATCCAAAAATAGAGTAAAAGCTGTTGAGAGGAAATGACTGAGGCTATGGGTGACTTATGAAGCATGGGAAAACTGCATTGCTGTTAGTGAGGTCTGTGAAGTAGCCACCTCCCTGCCAAATTTGCTGCCGTGCATACTATTAATATCATGCAGGTTTATGCTGTTACATACTCTTGCCTTGCACATGCTCTGTGTAATGGGGAAAACCACAACTTAAGAGCACTATCACCGGGGTATAATTTTTCTAAATTGTTTTAAAAGCCACATAATGTTAAATGCTTGTATAAATCCAACCAGAACCAGACTCTGAGGGTATTTTAGCACAGCCCTGAGCCTAATTATTATCTTTGAGCCAGTGCAACATAGTGAGTGGGAAACCCCTGTGCCCACCACCCGCATAGAATACCCCAAGAGTCATTTGCACAGGTCGTCTTGTCCTAATGAGAGGTGGGTGGGTGGAAGGTGACACACTTTATTATTCCGTGTGTACGTGGACCACTGCACCCAAACTAAAGAGGGGATGGTGGTCTCTGCCATCAGCAGACATTTGGCTCCAGTGGAGAATAAGCTGGCCGCGTTAGGTGTCAGTGGATGCTAAGTGACTGTGGAGGTCAGTAAACAGACAGCCAGTGTTGGTTAGATCCCTGCTTATCAGAGAATAGAGCCTCCATGGTCACTGATTCCGCCCAAAGAGTCGCCGTGATCCAATTAGAGATGGTTTGTTTGCATGTGTGTTCGTGTGTGTGTGTCTGTCTGTGTGTGTGTGCGCATGTTGTTTCTTTATTTTTGCAAGCTATAAATCCCTTGTAAAGCAATGGCTGCACTTTGATTTCATTTTAAAATAATCAGACGCTGTAAACTGTTCTCATTGTTTCAGCTCGTGCTACGAGATGCAGTGGAGGCAGTTTTCACAGTTAAACAGGAAAATAACAAAAGCACTTGTGTATACCAACCCGACTGAGCTCCGTGGGATCCAAAACACATTTATTTCTCAAACCATCTCTCTGTCAACATTGAGCCAGTCACACAGTAAGCAAAAAAGGCCTGCCAGATTTCTTTGTGTGTTCCTCTCGTCAGATAACCACCTCAGTACCCCGAATGTTCGTGAATGAAGGCCCAGATGTGCGCCACATGCAGATTTCTAGCCGCGGAGGGTGGGAAACATGTTTAAGTGAATGGCTGGTGAGGGAAACTCACATACGACGAAATACATCTCTTCTGGCAGGGTGAAATTGAAAATGGCTAATTAGGCTACAGCAGCTGGCAAAGGAGAAACTTGACAGCCGGGGTGGCCGTACGTAGTCAAACACATCAGTTAGTCCCAGGATCAGTTTGGCTTCAGTTTCATTGGGTTCTTGTTGCGCTTGAATGGAGAAAAACCCCCAAAACGATTCTTTGGGTTTTAGAGTGGCGAAAATCAACAATGTTTTAGATGAAAATCAACAATGTTTTAGATGAAAATCAACAATGTTTTAGATGAAAATCAACAATGTTTTAGATGAACTGAATCTGGCTGAAAAACTGGAGCTTGAGTGACAGCAGTGGTTGAAAAGTAACTAACATTTAACTAAAGAATAAACTGTTTATCATTGTTTCTATAACACCATCTTTTTCCATGAGTAATTACTTGATAGCGATGGCTCAAAATAACCTTGAGCTGTCTTCCATTTACAGTCTGAAAGAAAAGTTACTCTTTAACAGGTGTAGATGCAACATGGGGGGCATGAGACCGACCTCAAAGAGCAGCCCACAGGCCAGTGGCAGCTCTTGACAATGTTTTATTCAACCTGCTGATGCGACAAGCAAAAAATGTTCTTAACAGCTCAGCGTGAGACAAAGGGAGCATTTCTTCAATATCAACTCTTCTTTTCTAACTATCATACCAGACTTAACCTTCTTAATAATGACAAACCATAAAAAGCTACCAAAAATAAGCTCAGATGGGTAAAACACCTCAAACTTGTTGTTGTGCTCCTCAAACCATCTCATTTTGCTTTGTGGCAGGGTGCATTATCTTGCTGAAAGAGGCAACACCCATCAGGGAGTACCATTTCTATGAAAGGGTATATATGGTCTGCAACAGTGCTTAGGTAAGTAACATCTACATGCATGGCAGGGCCCAAGGTTTCCCAGGAGAACATTGCCCAAAGCATCACACTGCCTCCACCAGCTTGCGCCATCCTTGTGTGTGTTTTCCTGGGTAAGCGATGCACACTCACCTGACCATCCACGTCCTGTAAAAAAAGAAAAAAAAATCCTGATTCGTTGACCACTTCAGACCAAGAACACCCCACAAGAGATTCAATTTTGGAAGATCCTCTGAAGAGTCCTGTAGGCATCAAAATGTGGCCCTTGTCAGATTTGCTGAAAACCTTACACTTGACTATTTTTCCTGCTTCTAACACATCAACTCTGAGAACAAAATGTTCCACACACTAACAGGTGCTATGATGAAGAGATAATCACCTATTGTTGACACCCTAGCTTGGCACTCAGTCATCAAACCTTTGTGAAACTCACAGTAACCTCAATAGTGTTTATTTAGTGAAAAGTTTTAGTTTGCAGCTCACCTCTGTGAGTTTTTCTCTGATTTAATCCCTCAAAGCATCAATTTCTATCAGTAGAGTTAAAGTTGGGTAAATTTTAGCCAAATGAAATAGTCACAGACAGGATGTAGGTAGGAGTGCGTGGTGTGTGTCTAGCTCTATGGAGACGTCTGCATGTCAACGGCCACTAGAAGTAATACAGCAACATTAATCCTGTAACACAAAATAAATACTGCTGTTTTTTTCTCGTATTGATAGCATCAGTTCATTTTTGTGATTCTGTGCAATCAGAAGAAGCTTTCGATTCAAACCTGTCATTTCGTGTCCTATGTTCTTCTTCTAAATAGGTACCTCACCAAAGCCTGCACCTTCTCATCCTGTTCAAGACAACAAAGCCTCACAACAGAGCCAAGCACATTTTCTATGGAAGAATTGTAATTCGAAACACACTTGAAAGCACCCCCCCCCCCCCCCCCCCCCCCACCAAGCCCAAGGCCTCCCTCCACACCCATTGTCAAATGCTGTGAGACAATTAAGACCACATTAGATCTTTTCGAGTGCTTGTAATTTCATAAGAGAAGCCTTTTTTCACCCCTTTTTGAAAATAAAATGGGGAAACTCGCAGTTCCTCAAGAGCCACTTGGAAAAGACGGGAAACAGATATTAACCCTGCGAGTGATGGTTCTCCAAGAGGCCTCCTCACTCAAAGACTCTCCCTAATATGGCCAGCACCTCCACTACGGGACCACACACACAGAGACACCTGCGGCATCTCACAAAAAACACACATGCAACACACACACACACACATGCACTCAGATCAAGGACCCTACATTCAAACATTCAAAGCACTTCCATTGCAGTTGTCTATTTAAAGAAGAAACTGAAATAGATCGCGAATGATTTTACGGTCTTGTATTACTTGAGATGTAAACAAAGACTACAATTACAGCAATTAACTAAAAAATGTTCGTGTTTTCTGTTAAAATAATTAGACACAATCTGTATATTTCATACATTTGCTTCATTTTCCTTGGCTGCTCACACGTTTTAACTTACCTCATGTTGAGCAACCTGTGCCTCTGTGTTTGGCCCCATTCCACCGTGTGAAATGTAAATGATGTATTGTCCTAATTAGATGAAAAAATATGAGTAATCCTCCCAGCATGCACCACTTCTCAGGGGGGTTTATTATTCTAGCTGAAGGTGCTACTCTGTTTTATTTACTTTGATCCTGCATGTTTCGGAGCCTTTGGTAATCAGAGGTAGAAAGTCATTATGTTGTTATCACAACTGCAGCCGCACGGACCGAAGCTTGACACAAGACGTTAACCCGTCTGTAATGGAGAGGCCTTCGCTTGCTCAGCAGCTCGGCCCACACGGCCCGCAGCCTCAGAGGAACATACATCAGAGGGTGAGGACTTCATTACAACCCGCCCCTGAAATGAGATCGGGATCAGTGGAGGTGTGGAGAGTGGCTGCAGGCGGCCCGAGGGGAAAGTGGGAGTCAAAGGAACTCGCTCGCTGGCCTTTGAGGATTGAGCCCCGAAAAATCAAACGGGAATGAGTGATGGTTGTGATTTAGAGCCATTCCTCCTCCCTCAGCCTTTTGCTGTAATCACCACTTTAAATCAACGTGTTTAAAAAGAAATATGCCCAGGGATTTTTTTTTTCATTAGGAGCCCTCCTACAAAAACGGAAAGTCACTCAGCTTTCTTTGTTTTCTCAGTGCATTCTGTCAGTCCACTCTCCCCTTCCCTCCCTCCCTCCCTTTAAGAGTGGCATTGCGTGAGTGCCAGCCATTTCACCTTGACCTGCTTGATTGACCCTGAAGGTGGCAAATGAAAAAATCTCATCAGTGTGAAACGTTGCCATGGTTTCGGCTGAGCTGAGACCCCTGGCTGTGGATAACGGCGACCACGGAGGTTTTCTTTTTATTATTACACCCCTCCCCTCTGCACTGCTTCTCTTTTCTGTTGCTCCATGCACAGCCATGTGGGGCTGCATCACGTCTGCCGGCCTTCTCACACGATCCTAGCACTGTTGCGTGCAGAAGCTGCGCCGAGAGCATAGCATTTTCACCCCACTGCCTTACGCATGAGTAGTCTTGGGAGGGGCTGACTGACAGAGGGAGGAGAGCACGGGGGAGTGAGAGAAGGCGATGATGTAGATTGATGGCAGAGGATGAGACACGAGAACATGGGTCATGTAACTATAGGTGAATATTAGAAAAACAAGCGCATGATTGAAAGATTGGGGATTAAGGCGAGTGACGGAGATGAGGATAGGAAACGAGAGAAGAGCGAAAGGAAAAGAATCTCTGGATGCATTATTCATTTCATACACAGAGAGTGTGTAGAGCACTCTCTAGGGTATCGCTCGCTCTCTCTCACTCTCTGTCTCGCTCTCACACACACGCACGCACACACAGATTGGAAGAATAGCCTGGGCACTCAAACCCCAGACAAAACATTGAAAGTGTACACAAATGCCTCCCCTCATCCTTTTCAAACACACCGACCCACACAAAGTCCAACACACAGTTGTGTCCACTTAGTGAAACAATGAGCAGGAACTAATAGCAAATACTTGTGCAGACGAATCTTTTTTTTTTCCATTATGAAATCTGTCATACATCTTTATTTATTTTTTGTCAGATGGGTCAGGTGACATGGAGGATGCCTAATGAGTCATTTGTACCTTTATTTGTCAGTCTTACATGTATTATTCTCATTGTCTTATCAGTCTTGTTGGTGTGTCATCTGTAATTAGCCAGTTTATTAAAAAGATTATGCATTATATTACCTGCCATAGACAAGAATTTGCTACGCTTCTCATTACTCTTTTGCACTTTTGCATTACTCAATAGCACAGCTTTGAAATACATTATCACAAACTACCAATTTACAATACAAACCATGGGTGACAGTCACACACTGAAATAAATCTCTATTCTGATGAGGACATACATACAATTTTATTTTATGGTTTGAGTATAAACACATAGCTGACAACACAAAGCAAAGATGGAAGCCAGCCCGAAGAGACTTCAAAGTGATTGTCACAGTGATTCTGCAGTAGAAACATGAACAGGTGGAAATGGACAATGCTACACTGACTGCTAATCACTGCCTTTGTTACCTGTTGAAGGTGCAGCTCTGGCTGCTGGTTGGTGTCAGCATGCACTCACTCTGGGTTCTTTGTTAGTCTTGCATTAGCATGCTGTCTGTGCAGGTGTTTGCAAAGGCACAATGTTGTGTTTGCAGTTTAAAGCACTTGTTTCTAAACTGGATACAGTTTGTACTTTACCATTACCCCTTTGTCCTTTTATGCAATAAAAATAAAAGCAATATCCCTATGTCCACTCCTCACAATATGTACACTACCCTTTTACTCCTCTCTGCACACAAACTGAAATCAGCAGTTTGTAATGCAAGAGCAGGAAGAGAAGGGCATGTTTTTTTTTGTTTTCTGTCTACCCATAATTGAAGAATCTTTGTAGTACAAGTAACAATGTAATTGTAGCTGTAACATGATTACTAAGTATCACAAAGTCTAAACAACATTCAGACATAAAGACCAGTGAAGAACAATAGACAAAGAAATACAGCTCAGACTTTTCAGTTTTCTGTCTGTTTCAGGTCACCAGTATTTAGATCATCTCTCAGAAGAAGAAAAACAAAGATATGTGAACAAACTGCAAGTTTTGGATGCAGTGCCAGTTATTTAAGCTACTGCAAAGTGTCCTTGTCCTAGCTAGAAATTCATTATGAAGCTGTTGTACATGTACATGAAGGTATTATTTTGCATGGCTTTAATGAATATACTAAACTTACTGTACAAATAAATACCAGCTAATTCTGAGAGGTCAGCTGATTTTTCATGGAATGACCCTCTACGTATTGCTATAGGCTGCAAACTCATGGAGTGGCTCTGTGTTGTACTGATAGACAGCATAAAGTTTGTCTTTCTTACTATGACTGCCCCCACTGGTTTGTGAAGTCCCATTCTGAAGTCTGAAGGTGAACACCTTAACCACTGTCATCTTGGTGTTTTGAAACTGGAGGTGATGAGCAAAGGAGTGGGCCGACTGTTAAACCACGCAGTCATTGGCTGCCAGTCTGCCAGTCACATGTTGTTAGCCATTGAACACACACCTGATAATGATCTTTTCTGAAACTCAAAATTAGCAAAGTTTACAAAATTGCCTTAAAGTGTCAGTCAGTATGTCGTGAAATGAGTGACTGACCCATGAACTTCATCCAAAAAAATGTTTACAGTCACACAGTCGTTTTCCCACAGCTGCAAGCCACAGGTATCGCCCCCTGCTGACTACTGAAAATAATGCAGGTTATGAGGACCCTGCCTCTTTTGGCAGCTGGGCTGGCAGGTTGTTTTTGAATGTTTTGTGTTGCAGGTACTCAGTAGCTGTGGTATTATAGTGATCAGTGATTAGGCCCAGTGTTCCCCAGCAGAAAAGCTCACTCCACTTGCTCCCTCGGAGAGGAGAACAGCTCTGCTACTGATTGCCATGTGCTGTAGAACTATTTTGGTTTTTCTTTTTACCCAAACAACACCTCACTCACCACACTAGAACACATGCAAACATACCAGCACTACTGACTGACCTATTTTCTCTGGCAACTTTGTTTAGTTCTGCTAATTTCAAATAAAAGCTTTTGTTCTTCGGCTTGATTTATGGTTTCACCTCACGTTAAGCCAGATGTGACAAGGTTTAAGCCATTTCTGTGTTGGTTTTACATTTCAGGCTCGGACGCTACGTCTGTGTGTGATACTATCTGTGAACAACTTTCCAGCATTTTGGCTAAACAGCCCTGGTGAAAAATAGCTGGCAGGTGGCAGAACAAACTAGAAAAATACACACACATCCAGATCACAATGGGGTCGGGTGTTTGGCCGAAAACAAGGCAACTATAAATGGAAAAAGTCAAGAGGTTGCAGGTGTCCATGAAAACATAGAAATTGATTGTTTTTTGTCGTGACCATCTGACTTACAGCTACGCCTAGTGATCAATCACCCCCCCCCCCCCCCCCCCCAAAATAAAACCCCAAAACAAACTAGTTTATAGAAAACAAGCAACCAGCTAGCATTTTAAAGTGAACCCAAGTTAAGAAGCATTAAGAAGCCACTTTTAGACAAATAATTAGCTCTTCTCTATGACAGTGTTTCGGTGTCTGGGTTTCAATGACCCAATTTATCAGAAAGGTGGGGGCTCAACAAATAAATAAGTAAAAAAATACCAGAGTTTATCAGCGTTCCTCAACACATGGTCGATGTCTTTGAGAAGGAGTGTGGTGTTACCAAAGTCCCTCCATCGCTCTAATTGTCGGAGTAAATGAAACACCACGATAAAGGAGTAATTTGGCAGCAAGTTGGAATGTGTGGTTTCTTACATATCCTATTTTCTCCCTTTTTTCTCCTCTTAAGCATTTATTTTCCACCATTCGTACCACTTTCACCCCTTTAGAATAACATTATTATCACAAGCATGAAGAGAGCCACAAT